TAGAATCATCCGACTGATGATCATTTACCAAATAAGGTAAGATCATCGATGACCAAATTTGGTATATTCCCAGACTGGAATTTTAAAGAATTTTGCACATTTCGGACGTGTGATCAGCGACATGCATAACCTGGCACACAATTCATACGTGCCAAGCTGCTAATGTTCTCTCGCATTTATTTATCATAGTATGATTTTCGGAAATCAAATTTGAATGGTCTGGTGTTACGACTAGGGAGAGCTTTTATGTATCCAGACCAATTTAGTCAGTATCGTAAGCATAAATCCTGATGGTAAGTTGCACAGTCCGGATCCGTATGTGGTAACAGCTATCGGATAGGGTAAGTATCGTTGCTTCAATAAGACTATATTCGTAAGAGTCGTCACGGGTTATAGCTAGGGTTGGGGCACGGGGGTGTGATTTCAATTTGTCACAGGGCACGGAGGTGTGATGTTAATCATCACATGGGAATTATTAATTACATGTGATGTTTTATCATGTGATGATTTAGGGTGTTATGCCGTGCCCCGCGTGATGATTTTCCGTGCCCCAACCCTAGTTATAGCTGGGTCCAAGTCAGATCGTTATAGGTTGCGGTTAGGTTAGGTTAATCAGGGTCCAAGTTAGGTCTCCACAGGTTACGTATAGGTTCAAGTCGGTTGCCACGTGTCACTTATTAAGCAAGGTCGGAGCTTATTATTTATTATCGGGAGTTAGGTCACGTATCCACTGTACTTATTACTTGAGCAGAGTGAGAAAAAGTTACTTTATTTACTAAACATGCGCTCTATTTATACATTTTGATGTGTAAGGGTTTCAAACCCGGACCTGGGGTTTTGAACCCAGATCTGGGGTTTCGGACCTAGATCTGGGTTCCACACCCGGATCCCGGGTTTCAAACCCTAACCCCGGGTTCCAAACCCGTACATGCGCTAATACTATCGTGACTCGTAGTTTACTGCTTTTACATAAGAAAATAAAGGACTGCAAGTGATTATTCGTATCTTTCCATTCTTACTACATAATTTTACGGTAAGTTGCACCGTGCTATCTCAATGAGAGTGGTTGTCTGGATGATTTGTTTGATTCTGCATGCGCTTCTCATGCTCAACAATATTGTAACTTGTTCGCTGAATGGTATTTTATTCACGATACTGTTAATTATTGTGCTGTCTGGACTGTGTCTTCGTGATTTGTGGAAACTGCATCATTTATTTTGCTTTGGTTTGCATGTTCTGTGCGTCCTCAATGTAATTTGGCTTGTTGGTTTATAATTATTGTAGGTCGCATTATCGATACCTTCGCTGCTTGGGCTGCTGTATCATCATACATCTCCATTCGTATTTCGAGTCTGTCTTAGGGTTTGCATTTTTTTGACCACCCAGTGCTTTAGCTATTTCTGTTGCTTTCTTGGATCCATATTATCACCTTTTGTACTTGGGAATACCTCACAGTGTTTGGTCTGTTCGTCTTGCGAATCTCGCTTCTTGCTTTTGATGGGGCGTTATCTGACTGTGGTGACTAATCGTTATATTTAGAGATGGGCATTCTGCATTATGTGCATTACATTATGCAAAACATAATGTCGCATAATGTAATGTAGACATTTTA